TACTGCCAAGCTTCGGGTCAGGGTGCCAGCCAGTGAGGGCAGGCAGGGAGGCACCGGCACAGTCGGCCACGGCCATCTTCACCCCCATTCCATTTCCCTCCTTCTGTTTCTCCCCAATCCCCTTTCTCAGGAGACCAGGAGGTTCTGCCTAACGGTCTGAAGCAATCCCTGATCCTCTCCCCATAGGATAATAACCTCCCATGGATTCAGAACAAACTCTAGGGTCTAGACAATCAGGCACTGCTGAATTATTTAAATTTTAAAATTCATTTTGCAGCAGTGGGCAGGATATAGTTAGGAAACTGGGTTAAACTGTTCTAGCTGTTCTATTTAGGGAACATAAAAAACTATATTTTACTTAGTATTTAAAAATATCTGCACACTCTTGTTTATATGTTGTAGATCAAAACACCTATACTGCTGTGTATTTCTGGCTATGTATCCAACAACACACTTGCAGGTGCACCCTTTTATTAACAGAGGTATTATGAAAATCAGGAAAACCTACGACAAAACCCACCTAGGATACTAGAGAATTAGAATAATCCCACTCCTTGTGAATCCTCATTGCATTTTCTTGCAGCAAAATGACTCTCAGTAGGGACCACATTTATTTGTGTACTTATATATTCTACACATTATATGATGAAGACCATCCCTTCTTGTAATCCTGAGTTCCCTTCTATGTGTGAAGTAGAGCTTTACATACTGGAGGCATTAATGTGTTTTTGAATTACCAAAGGAAAATAAAACCAGGGCAATTTGCAGGAACAGTTCTAAAAATGTGGAAAAGGAAGTATGTATTGAATTAATGGACAAAAACTATTACAAGGTAAAAATTTCATATAGAGAAAATGAGTTTGCTTTTTTAAGTAAAAGGATAAACAAACTCACTAGGAGTATGTGATTTCTGGTATCAGGAAACCTTTTCTACAATGGACACAGTTTTATCCAGTTTACTGTTAGGGACCCACCTGTCCCCTCCCACACTAATCCAGTCCAGTCTGTGGAACAGGGTAGGGCTGACCTTGTCCTCTGCCATCAGGTGTACACATCAACTCAGGACTGGCAGCAAGAACATTCTCTGGGTTAGAAACCTGGACAATAACTCAAGTTGGAACAATCCCGGTTCTCTTGGGAATTCTAACAGTGATAGGGCACCCTTTCCCACGGGGGTCTTTAAGCTGGTATTGTAGTCACGTTTATCATCATGAGGAGAATGCGTGCCTGAGCCACATGGCTAACACTGAGGAGAGCTACGAGAAAGGGAAGGGAGCAGGAAAGAAGAGATGAAAGGCAGACTCTGATAAAAATCTGTCTCTGGACGCAGTCACGCGTTACACAAAATGCTACCCTACTTTATAGTTATATGGGAAAAACTAATTCCCTCCTTTTCTCCCTTAAGTCAATCTGAATTAGCCTTCTGTTACTCCCCCCGCCCCCCGTATATATTTAGATTTGTTGCACATCCCTGTGGAATTGTAAACTTCCTGAGCAGCTCATCTTATACTGGGTTCTGGAATATTGCTTTAAGACAAAGTTTACCAGGGGAAATACATCCAGAACAAAGAAGAGGGCATCAGGAAGAGTGGCAACAAATTCTAATGGACGACTGAGAAAACCTTCAGTCTTAGCCCTGCCATCCAGTTCCTACTTGTATGTCAAAGTCTCAAGGGTTCTGCTAAACACAAAACCTTTTTGTATTCACTATGTAGACTCTGCTCTTGTGGGTAACCAAGAACATAGCTGAAGAAAGCATGATTTCATGGACAAAGCAATAGGAACTTGAAATCTGAATCTTTAATTTGCTGCTTCCTGGCTATGAACCTGGGCTAAGCCACTTCACTGAGCCTAACTCTTCATCTGTAAAACAACTGTAATTTTTACAGTCTATCTTTTGTGGTAATGAAGTGAGTTACTGTATATAAAACAACTGTGTAAACGTTTTAGCCCTATGTAAAACAGAAGTGATTCTGGATGTGTGGTCACTCAGGTTGAAAGCTAAAAGAAAAATTCATAAAAGACAGGAAAATACCAACAAACTTCAAGATAAACCTTTTCCTCAGGCAAATAGAAGTCATACTAAAAGTGACCTTAAATTATCCAGGATCAAAACAAGAACTCAACGTTTTTGAATTATGGTTCCTTTTTCCCCATAACGGTTGAGGAAGAAAGCTTCCTCCCCTCCTCCCAAAGACTTGTCTTCTCAGAGAGGAAATAAAATGCTTTACAGTGGCAGACGTTTGTACTGGGTTTGATGGAAGTATTGGTAATCATTATTGAAAAACTACACCATGGAGGACAATAACAAATGTGTAGAGAATCTACCCTAGAATTCAGCTTGTACAGTCACAGTACCCTACCAGCAGTTACACCTTGTCTAGGCATATGGCTGTCTCCCTCCTTCCCCTCCCAAGCATCTGCCACTGACTGACTCGAAACTGGAAAAAGAAAAAGCATGATTTATGATGTTTAGGTAAGAGCAATGTATACTATAATGTTCTAATGCGTGTCAAAGAGCTCTGAAAACGTGACATAGGGAGGGGCACTTAGCCTAGGAGTCAAGACTCCAGCTCCTGATTCCAGTTTCCTACAAACGCAGATCCTGGAAGGAAGTAGTGATGGCTTAAGTAACTGGGTTCCCGTCATCCATGTGGGAGGCTGAATTGAGTTTCTGGTTCCTGGCTTTGACCTGGCCCAGTTCTAGACACTGAGGACATCCAGGCAGTGAACCAGTGGATGGGGGCTCTGTCTCTCAAATAAATTTTAAAAAATAATAAAAAAATACAATGTAAAATAATTTTGTAAATAAATTTTAAATTCATGTATTTTTTTTTGAAATCTCTAGTATTAATTATTTTTCTTTTTCAGGGGAAAGCACGAATGCAGTCCCCCACTACCACAAATTATGCAGTCGAGTTTCCCACATTTGGGGAAATCGCAAGGGTCAGCACATCTGGAATGCAATGGATAAGCCTTGCCCTGGGAAAACCACCTTTGTGATGATGGTATCTCCCCGGCCAGGTAAATATAGGATGTGTAATCTTTATTTATTTTCATCTACTTGAAACACAGAGCAACAGAGACAGAGGAGAGATATGCAGACAGAGATCCTCTGTGCATTGGTTCACACGTCAAATGTCTGCAACACTTGGGGCTGGTACAGGCTGATGTCAGGAGCCTAGAACTCCATTCCTTCTCGGCCTTCCATGTGGGCAGCAGGAGATCAAGCAATTGAGCCATCCTGCTACCTCCCAGGATGCATCAGCAGGAAGTCAGATAGGAAGAGAAGCAGCCAGGACTTGAACTGGCATTCTGCTATGGGATGCAAGCATCCAAGCCACAGCTTAACCTGCTTTTCTACAATGCTCGTCCTGGTGTGCAATCCTTTGGAAATGGTACTCAGCAGTATGAAATGCACGGTATATCCCTATAGTGTAGCTCACAGGCATTACTGAAACTGATGATGCCAACAACAAAACTAAACAAAATAGGTACATTTCCCTATACCCAACCCTACCTCCACCCCTGATCCCCAAACAAAGATTTTGAGCTTCCAGAAAGGATACTGGCCAAAGTGTTCATTTTGCTGTGAATTGATTTCAACATTCCTCTCTGTGAAGTCATATTTTCTTTTGTTGCCATAGCAATGCTTCAAGGGGTAAAAAGAGATAACAATTAAATTGGAATAAGATTATCCTGCATAAGTCCAACATACCTTTAAAAATTAACAGAAAATTATAGCGAGCAACAGTATCTTTTTTAATTTATTTTATTTATTTATTTATTTTTTTGACAGGCAGAGTGGACAGTGAGAGAGAGAGACAGAGAGAAAGGTCTTCCTTTGCCGTTGGTTCACCCTCCAATGGCCGCCACGGCCGGCGCGCTGCGGCCGGCGCACCGCGCTGATCCGATGGCAGGAGCCAGGAGCCAGGTGCTTCTCCTGGTCTCCCATGGGGTGCAGGGCCCAAGCACCTGGGCCATCCTCCACTGCACTCCCTGGCCACAGCAGAGAGCTGGCCTGGAAGAGGGGCAACCGGGACAGAATCCGGCGCCCCAACCGGGACTAGAACCCGGTGTGCCGGCGCCGCTAGGCGGAGGATTAGCCTAGTGAGCCGCGGCGCTGGCCGAGCAACAGTATCTTGAGTAGGAAAATGGGGGTGGAGGTGGGGATCACTTTCCATTGTTCTTTCTCTGAATGACCCCAGTGCCATCCAAAGATGTTTTTTTCTTTAATTCAAGGCAGTAAAACATTTCCATGTTTTCTTCAAAGTAACAAATGAAATAAGACGTTAACAGACAAATGACATTACAATGCCTCTTAAAATGGTTTCAGAAGGGGCCAACTATAAAATATTCTTAATCAGGAAAAATCATTGAGAGGGAAGTAGAAAATTACAGCCATAAAAATAGAACCAGAAGTGTCTACTCAATTTCTGAAGAGATTATGTCACAAATTTCTACTTGGGTACCAACTAGGCTGACTCTGGGACCCATGCAGCACTGCACTGAGTTTCCAAGCAAGTAAACAAAGGTGACAGATTGATTAAACGTAACTGAGAAAGCTGAAAAACTCATGATTTGTGGAATACATTGTCTTCCATGTGACTACTTTGATGTTTTGTTTAAAAGAATCTGTTAGTATCTTTTTGCTGTCACTTCTAGAATTACTTATTTCCCATAGTCTTATGTCCCTTATTAGAATCCTAGAGGGCAGAGTCAGTGTCCATTCTGATATCTAACACACTGTGGGGTGGAGGGGGGCTGCAGATACTGACATTATAAAAAGCTACAGGAAATGCCATTAAGTAATTATGAGAATACCTGGAACACTAAAAAGTTGGGGGGGGGACAACAGAGATTAAGAATGTGGAAAGATGGGAGTCGGAGTCAGAGTGACCTCACCTTTGACTCATTTCCCTCATGAGTAACCCAAAAATAGAAGCAGACAAACCAGGGAGGGTCCAGCTGAGGTACCAAGTTCCTGAGAACTCTAGGAAAGAAAGCCAGGTGAAGGGGTTGCACTCTCTCAAATGAGAAGAGAACAGTGAATTGAGGCAGGGAAATAAAGATTTTCCTTCAGCTCTGAGGTAAAGACCCAAATCTCACTGTTTCCTTTGGAACTCAGATAGCAGAAGACTATGGTTCTGCATGCTCAGTTCCTGCAGGTGGCAAAGGACTACTACGCAGAGAGACTGACAAGCAGAGAGCGCCCAGTCCAGCAGCTTATGGCACGATGCTCAGCCCCTGCAGGGAAAAACTGCTGGGCCACCCATCACCACCTGATATGCCACTGCCCCAGTCTCTAAGCCAGGCCTATCTGGGAGCTGAGTGCACACATTTCTGGACAGGCAAGTCCTCAGAGAATGAACTCCCAGGTATCTTATTGAAATGAGATCCTGGAGGCAATATTTTCAACTTTAAGCCTTGCAAAGGCAAAGAAGAAACAAAAGTGTGTTGAAGATAAAACACCCAGAAATTTGAACTATACAATATAATTATGCTATGAAACAGTATTTTGGGGGCCGGCACTGTGGCACAGCAGGTAAAGCAGCTGCCTGCAGTGCTGGCATCCCATATGGGCGCCAGTTTGAGTCCTGGCTGCTCCACTTCTGATCCAGCTCTCTGCTATGGCCTGGGAAAGCAGTGGGAGATGGCCCAAGTGCTTGAGCCCCAGAACCCGCGTGGGGGACCCGGAGGAAGCTCCTGGCTCCTGGCTTCGGATCGGCGCAGCTCTGGCTGTTGCAGCCAACTGGGGAGTGAACTAGCAGATGGAAGACCTCTCTCTCTCTCTCTCTCTCTCTCTCTCTCTCTCTCAGCACCTCTCCTTCTCTCTGTGTAACTCTGGCTATTAAAAAAGGAGTTAGTATTATTTCTATTAACTCAGAGGGATGTGTGTGCTATATTGAGTGTTTAAAACAAGCCAAAGAATGTGTTATTTTCAGTAACAATCATCCTTACATCCTCTTATTTCCAGTAACAAACATCCTTACAAATGCTTATATGATAGTGAGAAAGATTAATGGAAAGAAATCCAACTATCAGCTTCAAGGGGTAAGAATGGAGGGGTCCTAGCAGATTAACTTTCTCTTTATACATTTCAGTATTATTTAAATTGTTACAATAATACTGTACTTTGTTTGGGGGTTGGGAGGCAGAGGGATAGATATCAATCATCCATTTGATGGTTTACTTCCCAAATGCCTGTAACAGCTAGGGTTGGGCCAGGCTGAAGCCAGGAATCACAAACTCAATCCAGTGTCTCCTCGTGGCTGGCAGGGACCCAAATACTTGTGCCATCAACTCTGCCTCCCAAGTGGGAAGCAGGATTGGGAATGGAGCCCACTCTGATACAGGCTGTGGTTGTCCCAATTGGAGGCTTAGTCATGGTAGCAAATGCCTGCCTCCAACCCTTAAGTATATATGCATATCTAAAAAACAGTTGAAAAGGAAATTGGAGGAACTCTACCCGAGTGATTATAAAAGGTTAATAATAACATCAGCAGGTATAAATTTATTACTCTTATTCATCTCAGTTCCAGTATAAGTAACGATGGGTAAGTTTTCCACAGATCTTAGAAAAAGCTCAAGAATTAAAAGGGTCAGGTATCTCTGAAGGCAGTAAAGTTGAGCAGCACTGAAAATGAAGATTAATGGAAATCTGTACAAGGGGTTCCCAGAACCCTAAACTGCCTTCCCTAACTCATAAGCCTGGTGACTGTCCCCTGTCCAGTAGGAAATCTAGCCCAGGAGAAGAGACCAGAGATAGCAACAATCTGAAGTCTCCAGGGAAGCAGCAAGATCCCTGACTGATCACGTATTCTGAAGCTGACTGCTCAGTGTTCAACAAGTCCCACTATCCACCCACAAAGAATGAGCTTCTATCACCGAATTCCGAAGTCATACCCTCAGACACAAAGGGTCAATGACTGCCAGACTTTTAAGTGCAGCCCCCTACATAAAAGAGATCTAAACCAATCATCCAGGGAACAGAGAAGGGAGTGTGAGCAAACAGAGGTAATAAGGGAAGCTCAGGAAACTCTACAACAGGGGCAGGCACTTGGCTCAGGGAGCAGGATGCGGCGAGGGACACCCAGATCCCATACTGGCGTGTCTGCACCAAATTCCAGTTACTCTGCTTCTAATCTAGCTTCTGGGTAATATGCACCCTGGGAGGCAACAGGTAATGGCTCCAGTGAGGGAGTCTCCATCACCCATGTGGGAGACCAGGACTGAGTTCTAGCCTCCTGGCTTAGGCCCAGCCCAGTCCTGGCATTTGGAGAGTGAACCAACAGATGGAAGATCTCTATCTCTTTGTCTCTCAGCCTTTCAAATAAAATGAAAATAAATATTTAAAAAGGAAACTCTAAAATAAAATTGTATTTTATGTACTAAGAGAAAGAAAAGATTTAGATATTCTACCCATTGGTTCACTTTCCAATTTCCTGCGACAGTCAGGGCTGAGCCACGCCCAAGTTAGGAGTCCAGAACTCAATCTGGGTCCCCACATAAAGGAAGTTTTTAAAAAGAAACAACAGAGAAGAAGAAGAAGAAGGGAAGATTTCCTAGAACTGGAGATGAGTTTCCAGATTTCCTAGATTGTAAGAGATCATCCAGTGCCCTGTACAATGGATTGAAACAGTTGCATGCTAAGCTCATCATGGAGAAAACTGAAATAAAAAAAGTCAGGAAAAAGAAATGATCCTAAACATTTCCAGAGCGGGTAGTAGTGGGAACATATAATATACCAAGAATCAGAGATTTTAATTGGCACTGGACTTCACAAGTAATACTAAAAACAAGGCCTTTGAATGTTTCAAAGTTATTTCTAACCAAGAATTCTTGTCTTAAACAACGAATCAAGACTGGGTAGAATAAAGAATTTTTAGATGTGGGCAGTCTCCCAAATTTACCTCTTGTTATTTCCCAGGAATCTACTAAAGGATATGGTCCAGCATAATGAGGGAAGAAACTAAGGAAGTGGAAGACTTAAACCCAAGGAATTGGTGACCCACTAAAAAAGAGATCACTTTTGGATAACAGAGAAAGGACATCTCATCATCAGAACAGTATGACAGCCTGTATATCAAATAGTCTGGATTAGAGCAGGAGAAGGGCAATGTCAACTTTATAATACTTTGTTTTAGATAGCCCTCCACCCCAGAGGAGTCAAACTAACAATTTTGCTTTATTTACTTATCTATAATTTTTCAGTTTAGGTGCATATCTATGACAATATGATACATTTAAAATGTGGTTGCTTTAAAAAATAAATTTACTTTAGAAAGTATTTAAAAACATACATTATGGGGAGGGGGCCAGTGTGGTGGCACAGCAGGTTAAACTGCCACCTGAGATACCAGCATCCCATATGGGTACTAGTTCGAGTCCCAGTTGTCCACTTTTGATCCAGCTCCCTGCTAAAGGCCTGGGGAAAGCAGTGAAGGATGGTCCAAGTGCTTGGGCCCCTGCCAACTACATGGGAGACCTAGAGGAAGCTCCTGGCTTCAGCCTGGCCCACCCCTGACTGCTGCGGCCATCTGGGGAGTTGAATCACAGGTGGAAAGTCTGTCTGTGTCTGTCTGTCTCTCTATTTCTCCTTCTCTCTAATTCTGAATTTCAAATAGGTAAGCAGATCTTTAAAACAAAAACACACATATTACGGTCCTGAATAAAGTAACAGAATTCAAAAGTAGGCTGAGCAATCTGAGGCCCATCTTTAGATCATATATGCCTCTGTCATCATCACCTGTATACTCTGACTCACAAGTGGATAAAGGTTAAAAAATAATTTCCGCGAAGCACTTTGCATTCCTTGGAGAATGGATATTATCACCATACATTATGCTATTATCTTGTTGAATATGCATGATTTCCAGTATCACATAAAGTATATCCAGATATACTTTCCCATCCCATTCTATCATTTGAAGTCATGCTAAGTGAAATCTGGGCTGTTGTTATTTCAAGGCCCAAATACTCAGAGGTAAAATATAAGCTTCAAATAAAATACAATGCTTTTAAAATGATAAATCATTGATATGCTTACTGGAAGTAAAACTATCTTACCTGTTCTGAGTTAGTGACATTTTTTTCAACAACAGATAAGACAAGTTACACATTTAAATAAGCTAAAGAAGCTTACAAATATTAAAAATATTAGTCCTTTTCAAATAAATTGATGTCAAAGTCTCTAATCGGTTTTGTACATATTTTAAAAATGTCTCCAAAAGGAAAAGGTAAATTTTTTACATATGGAATATGTGAAAAATTTTTTAATCCATAAGTAATCATAACTAGCTTTGTATTCCATGAAATTTCACCTGTAATATCTATCATATTTTAAAACAAAAGGGAATGCTGAAATAAAAGATCTCCAAATAGCATGTTTTTTAAGTATCAAAATAAAAGTAGAAGTTATTCAATGGTTCTCAGATGTTTGTAATCTAAGAGGTACCCCAAACTTTTATCCCCATATTGTCAGCCTTTAAATAGGCCAGTGCTGAACTGAAAAGTTTAATTAAGGTAGTCTAACCTACAAGATCAGGCAGAAAATAAGGGGAAATAAAAGAATAAAAGGAAAGGACTATAGGGAAACTTTACATAAAGAAAAATGTAAAATATGATCATTCTTATGGGCCGATGAAAGTGAAGGCGTTACAAGGGGGTACTTCAGCTGAAAATCAGGCAATTCTGTGAAAACTTTGTTTAGACATAAGATACAGTATATCAACTTAAACAAAAAATTCACAATGGCAAAAAGGTATTATAAAAGGTTATAATGTATTGGGATTACTAACTAATGATGGGAACATGTTATAACCTATTGAATAAAACAATACATGATTCTATATCAATATAAATATTTAGGAAATGAACATTGAAACATTTAGGAGTAAACAGCATCATGTCTGCAGTTTATTTCCAAGTAGTTAAAAAAATTATTAAAAAGGCAATGTAGCAAAATGTTAACTTCTGGAGAACTTAGTAGAATGTATATATGACTTCTCTGTACTATTGGAACTTTCCTGAAATCTGAAATGATACCAAAATAAAAAGTAAAAAAAAAAAAACAAAAAAACCCAAAAAAAAAACCTCTGAGTATTCATAATATGATTACCATTTACAGATTACCTAGTATAATCCAGGCATTGTACTAAGCATTTTTCTCTCATTATCCTTAAGCTTCACAATAATCTTGCAGGCTAGGTATTAACATTAATTTGAAGAAAACAAAGGCTTCCAGAAGTTGAAGAAACTTATCTAGCAGAGATCTAGTAACAAACAGGTTTCAAGTCAAATCCCTCTTCAAAGTTTATACTCTTCCTACAAGGTGGTAAATTTAGTAATGGTTTAGACAGAACTCAGAGTGTAGAGTTAGCAGACTTGGATTTGAAGATCTGAATCCTAATACTATGTATCAGTCATGATCACTGACAGTTATTCATCTTGATTTATTTTTTGTTCTGGATATAGCGCCCAATGATTATGTGTATCTCATGGGTTACTGAGAAGATTCAAGGAAAGAATGCCGGCAAAGCACGTTAGAACAGAATCAAGATCCATGGGAAATATACTTTACTCTAACTTCCCTGAAAAACAGTGCTGGACACACTGGTGCCATGTGAGATGCAGACACTTCATTAAGATGCTTTTTTTACTGTTACAGTATAGATATGAAATATAACTGCAGTATATTTTCTATAGCTGCCATAGCAGAAACCAAGTTGACACAAATGGTATAAAGAAGACATTAACCAAATCACCTAAGATTGTTTTCCATTAAAAAAGGAGGAATTAAAAGACTGAGGCTGTAATCTCAAAGGTGAATTAGAAAAGTTAATGTAAATAAAACAATCTAATCTCAATAACTCTGGAAATGAATGGTCTTTAAAGGTCTCTTGAAAGGACAAAATAAAAATTCTTTTAGTGAAATTCTTATCTTTATACAGGATGAGTTGACTTTTAATCTGATTAACAAGGTTAACCTGATCTGCTCATTAAATTTGTATGCAGATAAAAAAAAAGTAAAACCGAAAACCATTCTTACCTGATTGTCTCTTCTATCAGACGATCTGAGCTGTAAATAAAACAAAATTTCAAAATCTGGGATCACTAAATGAACATTTAAAATGTGTACTTATTTTATCCACATTTATGGATACACTTTTCAGTCACTTATGTATAGCGAATACCCAGATTTTTGAAAGCATCAGCAGAAAATTTTGGAATCCCAAACAAACTAATCCATATATATAAAATTTATCTTTTATTTGCTAGATTAAATTTATTTTTTCCACAGAGATACCTGATATTTAAAGTCAGAACAGTTTTAATTACAGCATAAAGAAATAAAACTTCTTTAATCCAGATAGAGTTGTCACCACCATTTACTCAAAACTTAACAATTACAACCAACTTGTTAAGACAGGATAGGCAAATGCAGTTAGGCTGTTTGCAAGTAGTAATTACATATACTTCAAATGTCCTTCCTTTTTTGGGAACACTTTTTTTTTTTTTTTTTTTAGCTAAACCTAACGCAGCTTACTAAACTTCAGAAGTCAAGAATTTGAATAAAGACACCAAATATGTACCACTAATCTGTAAAGTATTTGCTTGTATGAAACAAAGAGAGAAAGGAAGAAAAGGTAACAGTCATTTTAGGGAGGAGCTTAAAGGTAGGTAAGTTTGATAAGGGAGAAACTTTACAACAGAAATAAGGAAAATAAACTCCAGACATCTATACCTATTTGGTACAATGCAAGATACACAACAGGCAATCAAATACTTATATATTTTTTCCAACTACTTCTTTCCAAAAGAATTTCTAATGAAATAGTAAGTTAAGATTTCATTATAAAGTGATAGAAGTTACTGCATGAATTAGGGAACAAAGATGAACTTTAACCTGTGTGAATATCTTACATAAATTTGTATAAGAATTTCAAAAATTGGGCCGGCGCCGCGGCTCAATAGGCTAATCCTCCGCCTAGTGGCGCCGGCACACGGGGTTCTAGTCCCGGTCGGGGCGCCGGATTCTGTCCCGGTTGCCCCTCTTCCAGGCCAGCCCTCTGCTGTGGCCCGGGAGTGCAGTGGAGGGTGGCCCAGGTGCTTGGGCCCTGCACCCCATGGGAGACCAGGAAAAGCACCTGGCTCCTGGCTCCTGCCATCGGATCAGCGTGGTGCGCCAGCCACGGCGGCCATTGGAGGGTGAACCAACGGCAAAGGAAGACCTTTCTCTCTGTCTCTCTCTCTCACTGTCCACTCTGCCTGTCAAAAAAAAAAAAAAAAAAGAATTTCAAAAATTACAAAGATGGTAGGTAAAAGCCACATCATGTGGCTGTTTAAGATGTAGTTATTTAAAAGGCAGAGTGATGGGGTAGGGGTTGGGATCTTGCATCACCTGGTTCACTCCCCAGATGGCTACAACAGCCAGGGCTAGGCCAGGCTGAAGCCAAGAACCCAGAACTCCTTCTGGGTCTTCAACAGGGTGTCAGAGGCCCAAGTATTTGGGCCATCCTCCACTGCTTCCCAGTTACATTAGCAGAGAGCTGGACTGGAAGCGGAGAAACTGGTTCTCAAAAAGGCACTTCAGTATGGGATGCTGGCATGTCAAGTGATAGCTTAACCTGCTGCAGCACAATGCCAGGCCTTGAGTGGTTGTTTACATGCTGGCTCCAGGGCTGGCCAGCAGGTTAAAGTCCGAGTCTGCAGTGCCTGTTTGAGTCCCAGCTGCTCTACTTCTGATCCAGCTCTCTGCTATGGCCTGGGAAAGCAAAAGATGGGCCCCTGCACCCATGTGGGAGACCTGGAAGACGCTTCTGGCTCTTGGCTTCGGATCAGCTCAGCTCTGGCCGTTGTAGTCATTTGGAGAGTGAACCGGTGGGATGGAAGACCTCTCTCTCTGGCTCTACCACTCTCTTTAACTCTTTCAAATCTTTTTAAAAAATAAATGCTGGTTCCACCATTCATTAGCTATCTGATGTCAGGCAAATGTCTCTGAAGTTCCATTTTCTCAGCTGAAGATTCAAAGGAGCTTACATCCGTAATGATTAGATCAGTACTTCACACATAGTGGGCACTATTCCTTGCTGTATTAAAACAGCTTACCACAACTACAGATAGATTATATATCTAAGCATAAAGTCGATGTAAATTCCCATATCAATCCACTATTCCAGTGAAATCTATGAACTATCAAGCATGCATTTTTTTTTCAAGATTTATTTATTAATTTGAAAGGCAGAGTTACAGAGGTAGAGGCAGAGAGAGACAGCGAGGTTTTCCATCCACTGGTTCACTCTCTTTTTGTTTTTTTTTTAAAGACTTATTTATTTATTTGAAAGAGTTACACACAGAGAAAAGGAGAGGCAGAGAGAGGGAGAGAGAGAGTCTTCCAACCGCTGGTTCACTCCCCAGTTGGCCGCAATTGCTGGAGCTGTGCAGATCCGAAGCCAGGAGCTTCTTCTGGGTCTCTCATGCGGATGCAGGGACCCAAGGACTTGGGCCATCTTCTACTGCTGTCCCAGGCCACAGCAGAGAGCTGGACCAGGAGTAGAGCAGCCAGGACCCGAACTGGCGTCCATATGGGATGCCAGCACTGCAGGTGGTGGCTTTACCCACTACGCCACAGCGCTGGCCCCCATTTATTCTTGTAACAAATGCATACAGAAGTGGCCCTGGAAGGTACTGGTTCAGACTATAAAGATAAGACACTAAACTCCATAGATTTCACAGTGGGGACAAATAATATAAGTCAACAAGGCTTCTTGGTCCAGTGACTACAAGATCTCAAAAAAAAGGAAGTGGTTAACTTGGGTTAATACTTCCTTTTTCAATACAATAGCCTGGTTAAAAGAAAAAAGAGAAAGAAAGCTATTTTGGGGTCCTCTCCAATCAGGTCTGCAAAATAACAGACAATATAAACTGAAAATAAATAATTCTAGTGAGTGCACAAGAACACAGCTAATTTTGTTAAGAATAATGAGAGCTAATACTTGTGGTAAATTATAAGCCATGTCCTGTCCTAAAATGCCTCAGATGTTTTAACTGCATCCTTACAACAATTCTATAGGATTGATCCTATCATTCTCTTCAGATACAAATAAAAACTGAAGCAAAAAGCGGGCTAGGATTTAACCTTGAGCAGTCTGACTTCAGAGATCCGGCTCTCACTGTCTCAAATATCAGCTCTTCCTCTCCCACAATCAGTCCGAGTTTTCACCTACTTCTAGACTGTCTCACACCTACTCCAGCAAAATCTATACTCTGGGGTTCATTCTCTCTTTCTTCTTCCCCTCATTTCTCCTCTGGTAAACCTCAGGTCACTGGAGATCTCCTTACTCCAAATGTGAAGACAATGTAGACAAACAGCAACAGGGCAAAGACACAGTAGACACTCCTTGACCCTTTCACTCTGTAATGAACTCAGTTTCTTTAGCTTCTCTCACATTTGGTCACTTCTCTCCTTATCCAGAATCCCAAGTCAATTTTAGCTTAATAAGCAGGCAGAGGGCTCCTTAAAAAGTGCCTGGGACAAATAAAGTTAATTTGTATAAGGATTTAAGAAAAAGTCTATTTCTTCTACTCTCTACTGTCAGCCGCTCAACACTTCTGCTATCAGTGATAACAATTCTGAGATGTCCTGAATAAAGTTACACAGGAAGTATGGGAAGAAGGAAGAGATATAAACAGGTGTGTATATCACATCAACAGCTCTGGCTAAACCAACAAAGAAAAGGAAAGTGCTCCGCATTCCTCCCCTGTATGCTGAGGCACAGCTGGCAAATGATGTTGCATGTCACACACAGAATCAAAACCCACCAAAGCACAGCAGGCACCTACCTCTCTGTATGGACTGATCTCCTTTCCCAGGATTCTGCTCGCTTTGTGTTGTCCCACCCTTCTTATCAAGTGCCAATGCAGGTTCAATGTTAGCGATTTATGTTTTCTTCCCCAAACTTTCATTGAAAAACATCCTGGCTGTTTATAGAGACACTGGATATTTTTCCAATGCTATTTACCATGCTGCTGCAGATCAGGGAATTTGTCTCATGACTGAGACAAGCAATCAATCAGTTCTGCAGTGGACACCAACTTGGTGTTCTCTAATTCAATTCAATCTGACACTATCTCCCTGGAGATACTCAGTTCCCAGAAGACTGCCCTCACTTCCAAGGCACACTGCAAATCCCAGGTTGTTTTACTTTCAACTATATATCAGGGCTCTCAAACCTCAACCTTGTGTTCAGCAAACTATTAGAGCATCTCACAGAACTCAGAGAAACAAATTCCTCACACTGACTGGTTTATTATAAAGGATATTACAAAAGACAGAGATGAAGAGATACATCGGGCAAGCATATGAGATGGGACACGGAGCTTCCATGTTCTCTGAACGTCCCATATTCCTCATTCATTCAATGACCCAGCCGCTCCCAGAACCCAGTCCTTTGGGATTGTATGAAAGTTTCATTACATAAGTACAATTAATTAAATCACTGACCACTGGTGATCACCTTAATCTTGGGATTCCTCTCCCCTCTCAAGAGCTTTGAACAGAAAAGCCCCAGTCCTTTAATAGTGCCTTGTTCTAGTGACTGGCCTGCACCCTGCTGTCACTGATTAGCATATGAAAGAAACATTCTCTTCAGAGACTATGGATTTTAGGAGCTACAAGTCAGTAAACTAGAAGAAAAGCAAATATTTCACAGTATCTCAACTTGCTTCTCCTGACTTCTAAAAACTTAAAATAGTAATAGATAAAAATGATGACCAAGGGGCTGGTGCTGTGGAGTAATAGGCTAAGCCTCTGCCTGCAGCAGCAACTGCATCCCATATGGCCGCTGGTTTGTGTCCTGGCTGCTCCTCTTTTGATTCAGCTCCCTGCTAATGCACCTGGGAAAAAATTCCCCCAGAGAGATTTAAGAACCACAACTTAAACGTTCTCAGATATTGCCACACTCTGCAGACTACTGTATCAGAATAAACCAGGGATCCCTTATGATTTACTGTAAGAAATATGTAGGATTGGGGCCGGCACTGTGACAGAGTGCCGGTTCGAGTCCCAGCTGTTCCACT